AGCCGTCATCAGCCAGTCATACCCAATCTCGAGGGTTGGAACCCCCGAGATTCGAACCCGGGACCTTTGGTCATTGAGTTTGCCACTCTGCCATTGCACCAAGATGTCGCTAGATCATACACTTTCGCCATAGCATCCTTTCTCATCCCTTCTCTCTCTCTCTCTCTCTCTCTCTCTCTCTCTCTCCCTTTTCAGCTCACCTTCGCTTTGGCTGAAAAGGAACGTCTGCGCTGTCGCCATAAGCCACCTGTTCTCACTCCCTCCCTGGTTGATCGATTTCGTCGAAAGGTGACTCACTATATGACGTCCCGAGGTGAGGTCTACGTCCGGTCTCATCATCGAGAGGACGAGGAGGCGCAGGAGCCAACCTTGAAGAACAGTAGCGACAATAACCACAACAACAGCGCGGCTGTCCTCGAAGACTGCGCCTTGAGCGATTGTGACATGGAAATAGATGATTCTGACGTTTAGGTGGTCAGCGAATCTGACGCCCCCCCGTCCTCCCTCCCTCCCCCAATTCCCATCTCAGCATCATAGGTCTATTCTCTTTGCATATACTTCTTGAAGGCAGCCTTTCTACGAACTAATATACTTTAGGCCCCCTGTTTAAAAGTGTTCGCAGCACGCAGCACACCTCCTGGCCGGCAAATGTTTGTACACTTTTCTTCTTCTCGAGCGTCGGCTTCCTTGCCCTGCCTGCCTATTCACACTTCTTGGCTGTGTTTTTTCCCCCCTAGGGCTGCACTAACTCACACATCCACACTCAGAAACGCATGCGTCAGATAGAATTATCTACGGAGTTACGACTATTACACACGCGCTGTTCTCTCTCTTTTCTACCTTTTCTGTGTGTGTGTGTCGTCACCTCTTTCCTGCGTCCTGCTGTGCAATTGACATTTTACTACTACCATTATGACTGGCGTAGGTCCTATTCTTCTTCCTGCCTTCTCTCTCCTTAATGTGTATGAAAAATAAAAACCCACCCACACACACATATATATAAATATATATATATAGATATATTGGATATATATATATATATATATATATATATATATATAT